CCAAACAAGAAATTAAGCAAGAGAAGAGGGAAGCATGTGTTTATTGCATAAGGAAAATAATAAGCATTTTATGAACTAATTAAAGTAATAACCTTTTCCTTTCTTTATTGCTAAGCTTTGTGGGCTATGCAGAACAGTGAAAACAAATCTGGTGAGAAAACTTCCTTAAGTCTCTTCAATTCTCAGTGAGACCTATGCCAACAGAGCACTAATTGTATTCTCTTAGAGGATATTAAAAACAATAACTTGAGTGTTGACATTTTTACCCAGGACTGATTGTCAAGATGTACACCCTATATGAATGGCACAAAGGTCATAGGAAACTAAAGGTATTTTAGGAAACCAGAGAGAAGCTTCACCAAAAGTGGCACTTTCCATGAAAGTGGGAAAACATCATAAATACTCCCCCCCCCCGCCAAAAAAAAAAAACATGCATGCTACAGGATCTTTTCTTACCAAGAGCCCTGGCACATCACCCCAGATTTAACATTCCTTTCTGATACATTTCCCCATCCCAATCAATGCTGTTCCTTTACTTCTCCTGAAGGTTTTTAAGCAGAGGTTAGATAGCCCTTGTGGTCTCTTCCAGTTCTATGATTCTTTGTGGTGGTCCTGACAAAAGTGTCAGCCCTCCATTCCACTCTCCACCTCATTCAAGAATAAATAGACACTTCTCATAATGAGGAGAGTAGGATCTCTCAGGCATTTGTATTGTGCTTTTCAACAAGCTTCATAAACAATCCTGTGTTGGAGCAAAGTGATCAAGTGGTTATATTTGATGCTGGAGAAGATTATTTAGGATGGTAATAGCAAAAATAGACTCCAACGAGGAGATTTTCAAATTGGGAAGTAAGATTCAGTGTAAACAAGGGTATAATGATAAATTTGAACCCACTGTTCTGAATACTAGTTTCCAGGGCAGCCGAAAACAAGCCTGCTCTTCCTTACATCATCCTTTCAATATTTAAACATAGTTATCATGTCTCCTCTGCAGGCTAAACATACCCAGCTATTTAAGCTACTCCATATAGGGTATGGTCTTCAGATGTTTAATCATTTTAGTCGCCCTTCTCTGGACACCTTCTACCTTGTCAATACCTCTCTTGAATTGTGCTGCCCAGATCACAACAGTATTCCGAGTGATGTCTCACCAAACCAGAATAGAGGGGCACCATGACATCCCTTGATCTAGACCAGTGGTTCTCAACCTGTGGGTCACCAGATGTTTTGGCCTTTAACTCCCAGAAATCCTAACAACTGGTAAACTGGCTGGGATTTCTGGAAGTTGTAGGCCAAAGCACCTGGGGACCCACAGGCTGAGAACCACTTATCTAGACACTATACTCCTTTTTATGCAGCCCAAAACCCCATTGTATTTTTAGCTGCTGCATCACATTGTTGGCTTATGTTGAACTTGTTATTGTCAAAAATAAGTCTCATTTAATTCATTGGGTCTTTTTCCCAGGTAAATGGTTGTTGTTGTTGTTGTTCATTCATTCAGTCGTCTCCGACTCTTCTTGACCTCATGGACCAGCCCACGCCAGAGCTCCCTGTCGGCCGTCACCACCCCCAGCTCCTTCAAGGTCAGTCCAGTCACTTCAAGGATGCCATCCATCCATCTTGCCCTTGGTCAGCCCCTCTTCCTTTTACCTTCCACTTTCCCCAGCATAATTGTCTTCTCTAGGCTTTGCTGTCTCCTCATGATGTGGCCAAATTACTTCAACTTTGTCTCTAGTATCCTTCCCTCCAATGAGCAGTCGGGCTTTATTTCCTGGAGGATGGACTGGTTGGATCTTCTCGCAGTCCAAGGCACTCTCAGAACTTTCCTCCAACACCACAGTTCAAAAGCATCAATCTTCCTTCGCTCAGCCTTCCCTAAGGTCCAGCTCTCACATCCGTAGGTTACTACAGGGAATACCATGGCTTTGACTAGGCGGATCTTTGTTGCCAGTCTGATGTCTCTACTCTTTACGATTTTATCGAGACTGGACATTGCTCTCCTCCCAAGAAGTAAGCGTCTTCTGATTTCCTGGCCACAGTCTGCATCTGCAGTAATCTTTGCACCTAGAAATACAAAGTCTGTCACGGCCTCCACATTTTCTCCCTCTATTTTCCAGTTGTCAATCATTCTTGTTGCCATAATCTTGTTTTTTTATGTTTAGCTGCAACCCAGCTTTTGCGCTTTCTTCTTTCACCTTGATTAGAAGGCTCCTCAGCTCCTCCTCGCTTTCGGCCATCAGAGTGGTGTCATCTGCATATCTGAGTTTGTTAATGTTTCTTCCAGCAATTTTCACCCCAGCTTTGCATTCATCAAGCCCCGCACATCGCATGATGTGTTCTGCATACAAGTTAAAAAGGTTGGGTGAGAGTATGCAGCCTTGCCGTATGCCTTTCCCAATCTTGAACCAGTCTGTTGTTCCGTGGTCAGTTCTTACTGTTGCTACTTGGTCCTTGTACAGATTCCTCAGGAGAGAGACAAGGTGGCTTGGTATGCCCATCCCACCAAGAACTTGCCACAATTTATTATGATCCACACAGTCAAAGGCTTTAGAATAGTCAAACAGAAATAGATGTTTTTCTGAAACTCCCTGCCTTTCTCCATTATCCAGCGGATATTGGCAATTTGGTCTCTCGTTCCTCTGCCTTTTCTAAACCCAGCTTGTACATCTGGCATCTCTCGCTCCATGTATTGCTGGAGTCTTCCTTGCAGGATCTTGAGCATTACCTTACTGGCATGAGAAATAAGGGCCACTGTACGGAAGTTTGAGCAGTCTTTCGCATTTCCCTTTTTTGGTATGGGGATATAAGTTGATTTTTTCCAGTCTGATGGCCATTCTTGTGTTTTCCATATTTGCTGGCATATGGCATGCATCACCTTGACAGCATCACCTTTGCTTCTGAATCAAAGGAGGTCAGGCTAAGCAGATGGAAGGAGAGACTAAGAAAAAATGAAAGGACAATCTAAATAATGAGAAACATTAAGCATGGAATGTAAGAGAAGAAAGCATGGGACAAAAGGAAACATATAGATCAGTAGGAGCTATATCAGTAAAGAGCTTTCAAGTGTATTGCTTATTGATTTGAAACAATTCGTTTCATCTAACTACTATTTGAGGCATTATTTCTTTCTAATTCTTAACAAGAGTGTTGAATTTAATAAAAGTTATCTGTGTGATTATGACAATTGCTCAAGACCCACTGATTTTAAATTAGACTAATATGAGGTCAGCACATGATATTTGGGATCATTACTTTTTTCCACAGAATATGAAGATTAATGATATTATACTGCAAGTAACTAATGTTCAGAATTAAATCTTTTAGATGTGTTTGTTACAAATGGCAGAAGCTATTGGCAAAAAAAGTAAAACATATATTTCCTGAAAACAGGGGAGTGACAGTATTTCACCAAATCATCACCTTACGGAGGCAGAACTCTACTGAATGCCTGTTTTAAGTGTGTAATGAATGTACTAGAGTCTTCATCCACAAAATCTTTAAACAGCATACATTTCTATTGTGCAAGCTTAACAAACCAAAGCAATGTTATCAGAAATATTTGCCCTTTAGAAATAACAGTTGAATCTATTTCATTACTGTCATACTGTGTAGAGAAAAACAAAATCTAGCCAGAAAGAAAATTTTCTTTAGCTTATATACAGCATTTAAAATGCCAATTATACAATCATTGTGCATTAATTGGCTTCCATTTATGGAGGACAGCAAGCTTTGCTGTGTAGATAACAAACACACCATCATTTCCATCGCCAGCCTTTTGAGACTTACTAGAAAGGGTTTAGAAATAGCCTGTCACTTCAGGCTTTAAGTACTAAATTATTAATTTACACAAAATACGAGATTAAAATACTATTAAACCGACCAAAGACAGCATATGCAGACTTGAAAAGAAGCGTTCACACTTGGCTAGATTATCAAATGCAGTCTCTGACATGTAAACTGAAATCCATTTTCCTTTCTTTTGTTTCTCTTTATTTTCCTTGCCACTCTAGTTGATCAAAGTGGTTTGTTGAAGTTCATGTTTATACCTCCAATTTGTCTTATGGTTTCTGCTATGAACCAACTAGCTGGGATTTTGCAGTTCTTCCCCAGACTATAAACTAATGCTAAAACAAGGGACATTAGTTCTTCAGTGCAGGATTAGGCACACAGAGAAATGATGAGGGGAGAGAATGCAGTTGTTCAAGCATGTTCTAGACATCAAGAGAAGCAGTACAAACAAAAGCAATATGAAAAAATTGTTCTTGTTTGAGTATTTACTTTGAAGTTGGATTCACTAGAAAATCCTTTTTACCTAGGATTCCATCCCTAAGGTTGGTTCCTTATGTAACAGAATCCAAAAATCACTCTCCTCCATATAGTTATTGATTAGTAGCATTGTAATGATTATGGTGGCTATTACTTGGAAAGAAGGGAAGACTCTCTAAACTGAATATTAAAATGATGCAGACAGTGAAGAGCACCAGTAAAACAAAAGAAAACCATAAAAAGCAGAGTTTGGAATAGTTACTTTTGGGACTGAAGTATGATGCTTCGCTGGACCACAACCGCCTCCCCCCCCCCCCCCCCCCCCCCAAGGCCTTAAAAGCCATCTTTGGTAAGGGGCTAAGAATAGAATAGATAAATGTTTTTTCTCTTTTATACAGCATTAGAAAAACAAACATTTTCAACCAAATAAATATATCATTATTTGTTAAACCTTTTGTTTTTAGTTGTATGGTCTACTGTGAGCAACTGTCAGTTATGTCTAATATTTCATAAAATATTAGAGCCCATCTCTTCTGATCTCACAAGTAACCATGTCTAGATTTCAGGATTTGGACCAAGAATCTAAAATTCTAATATGCTCCTAACTTAGCAATATTACCACCTTCATCTGTCCAGTTTTTTTTATTTCCAACTGCCACACATTTGCCAAAATTCAATGCCTCACTTTAAAAGTCTGATATATGGGAATGAAGTCTAAGGTGCATGTAACTTACTTGCAGGAAACTTTTGTTCTGTCAGCTACCATGGTCCATTGCTGCTGATTTGTAGAAACCTCAATGTAATAGCTGTAGCTTCTGTCATCGCAATCCCAGAGAAGTAACCTGCATGAATCAATAAAGAAGTCAGTGTCACTTCATGTATTTAATTAACAGATTATGAACCATCTTTGGGGATCTTTTTGGTCAAAGAAAACATGGAAACAAGCACTATCATAATATTGTAATCAGTTGTATCTTCTGCTTCCAATAACTTATTAAAGCCAGTACAGATGAATATCCAAAAATACCATATAAACAACATTTAAAGCCCCAAGTGGCTTAGGACCAATATTCAGTCAGCACCTCTCTTTCAATACAGTATGCCTGCCTGAGAACTGGTATCTATTGGGGAAACCCTCCTCTGTGTCTCATCATTAGAGACTCGACAGTTAAATGAGATGTCAGGATTTAAAACAGAATGAAGATTTATCTCTTTCTGCAATCCTATCCAGTCAATTTTAAACTGTGAATTTCATACATACATGTATTGTATGCATGATAATATTTGTTTTATGTCTTCTAATATATGTATTTAGGGGTCACATTATTATTATTATTATTATTATTATTATTATTATTATGCTAGGATTCATTTTCCTGGGATTAATGATGGAATTCAGACCCTAGATTTAAAGGTGCAAGGAAAACAGAATTCTGTAAATCAGTTGTTACCTTTGAATAGAATCACAGAATTATAGAGTTGGAAGACACCATATGGGCCATCTAATCCAACAGCTTGCCATGCAGAAAGAAGCAGCATATGTTGAGATATTATTTATTCATTGTCTTTTAATTCATGTATTTTAGTAGATTGCCCAAGAGGCGAATAACAAATTATTATTATTATTATTATTATTATTATTATTATTATTATTATTATTATTATTATTTGAAACACAACAAGATGAGTCCACAGCAGACACTCTGCTGGCTGTTGTATTGGATCACACGTCGGACACTTCCCAAGTGACTAGGACTGTGTGATGTATCGGCAAATAATGTGTGCAGATCCCAGTAAGGTGGCCTTCTGCAGCTGGCAGATGGTAATCTTGTCAGTGCCAATTATGTTTAAGTGCAGGCCAAGGTCTTTAGGCACTGCACCCAGTATGCCGATCATCACTGGGACCACCTTGACTGGCTTGTGCCAGAGTCTTTATAGTTCGATCTTTAAATACTCATAACATGTCAGCTTTTCCAATTGTTTCTCTTCAATCCTGCTGTCACCTGGGATTGCAACATCAACAATCCTTACTTTGTTTTTTAACACAATTGTGAGGTCAGGAGTATTGTGCTCCAAAACTCTGTCTGTCTGAATTCAGAAGTCCCAGAGTAGCTTGACGTGTTCATTCTCTGTAAAAAAATTTCCGGCTTGTGATCCCACCAGTTCTTTGTTGCAGGCAGATGGTATTTGTGGCACAAGTTCCAATGAATCATCTGAGCAATGGTGTTATGCTTCTGCTTGTAGTCTGTCTGCGCAGTCTTCTTGCAGCAGCTGAGGTTGTGATCTATTGTTTCATCTGCTTCCTTGCAGAGTCTACATTTGGGATCTGTTGTTGACTTTTCAACTCTGGCTTTGATGGCATTTGTTCTAATGGTTTGTTCTTGGGCTGCCAGAATCATGCCCTCAGTCTTCTTTTTCAAAGTTCCATTTGTGAGCCACAGCCATGTTTTTTCTTTGTCAATTTGGCTCTCAATTTTTGCCAGGAACTGTCCATGGAGAGCCTTCTTTCACCAGTTTTCTCTTCTGCTCTGGATTGTGTTTTTACGGTATTCACTCTTTGTATTTTGCATTTTAAGCAGTTTGCTACTATTGACTGCCTTCAATGTTGGTTATTGACTGCCTTTCACATAATCTGCCAGTGCATGTTTCTTTTCTTCTACGGTTTGTTTCACTTGCAGAAGCCCACTGCCTCCTGATTTTCTGGGCAGGTAAAGTCTGTCAACATCATTACGCGGGTGTAATGAGTAGTGATTGGTATCAGTTTTCTTTTTTTCCTGTCCAGATCATCCAGCTCTGCCTGTGTCCAGTTCACAATTCCAGCAGTGTATCTAATGACATGGATGGCCCAGGTGTTGACAGCCTTGATCGATTTTCCGCCATTTAATTTGCTCTTCAAAACCTTTCTGACTCTTTGGATATATTCTTTACTGACCACATTTTTCACATGCCAATACTTAATATTATCCAACTGTAGTATGCCCAGATATTTATAGGCTTCAGGCTGATTGCATTTTATGATTTGTCCGTTTTGCATCTCTATGCTCTTGCTGTGAGTAATTTTCCCTTTCTTTAATGCCACTGTGGCATATTTGTCTAGGCCAAACTGATGTCAGTGCTGAAGATTCTGACTGTGTTGGTCAGTGACTGGATTTCTGTTTCTGATTTTCCGTAAAGCTTTAGATCATCCATATACAGCAAGTGGGAAATTTTGGGTGAAGTTTTTCCTGTTTGGTAGCTCAAGTTTGTTTTCTTCTTCTTCTTCTTCTTCTTCTTCTTCTTCTTCTTCTTCTTCTTCTTCTTCTTCTTCTTCTTCTTCTTTTTATTCTTCTTCTTCCTCTTCTTCTTCTTCTTCTTCTTCTTATTATTATTATTATTATCTGCATAGTTAAAGCAATAGCATTCCCCAATTATTATTATTATTATTATCTGCATAGTTAAAGCAATAGCATTCCCCATAGTAACCTATGGATGTGAGAGCTGGACCATAACGACGGCTGAGTGAAGGGAGATAGATGCTTTTGAACTGTGGTGTTGGACGAAAATTCTGAGAATGCCTTGGACTGCAAGAAGATCAAACCAGTCTATACTCCAGGAAATAATGCCTGACTCCTCACTGGAGGGAAGGATATTAGAGGCAAAATTAAGTACTTTGTCCACATAATGAGAAGGGAGCTCTGGCATGGGCTGGTCCATGAGGTCATGAAGAGTCGGAAGCAACTGAACGAATAAACAACAACAAAATTATTATTATTCAGTTGGGACTTCTTTAGCTGGGATTAACAATGGAATTCAGACCCTATATTTAAAGGTACAAGGAAGGCAGAATTCTGTGTAAACAGTTATGGCTTAGAATATATTTTAAAGAATTTACAAAAAAAGAAATTAGGGAAAATAGTAACCCAATGTTGAGTAATGTATTAGAAGTATGGAACAAATACAGGAGAAAGTTAGTAGTGGATGGCTTAACAATAACCCCAATTGTAATGGAAAAGAAATTTCCAAAAATGTTTTAAAATATAATGTATAAAAAGTTAAGGGAAAAATGTAAACAAAATAGGGGATTGGATATAGGTTGGAATGGAGAAGGAAATGATTATGGAAGAATTTAGAGAAATAAAATGGTTCCATTGCATACAATTAGAACAATGGTTCAAAAATTGGGTAAAAAATAATAAAAATGGAAGTAAGGTTAATCAATTCAAACAAATAATATAAATGGAAGGGATATAGAGGAACATGAACATTTGAAAAGAATAACTAGTAAAATATATAAGATAATAATTGAAAGAACCAAAGGAAAGCTATAAAGAATAACATACTCAAGGAGATCTGGGAAGAAGATTTAGGGATGAAAATAAATGAAAAGGAGTGATTACAATGATGGAGACAAAGACATTTGAAAAATTTATCAGTACAGGTTAAAGAAAATTACTGTAAGTTTATATGGAAATGGTATCTAACACCAATAATAAAAGCAAATATAAATAAAAAAAGATTCAAAAAATTGCTGGAGAGGATGCCAAGAATCGGGAACATATATACATATGTGGTGGCAATGTAAGTAATTTCTGGGGGAAAGTATTTTGAGAAATAGATGATCTAATGAACATTAAAACAGAAAGAAGTCCTAATATAATTTTATTATCATTATGCAATAATAAACAACTGAAGAAAGAGGAGAAAGATATGATAAAAAAAAACTTATTAACAATAGCAAAACTGCTTATAGCAAGGAATTGGAAAAGAGAAATAAATATACAAATAGAGGAGTGGTATAAGGAAATATGGAAATTAACAATAAATGATAAGATGGCATGTAAATTAAAAGTTAAAAGGGGGATATGGAAACAAAGTGATTTTGATGATCTGTGAAGAAAATTTATTGAAAAAGGATTCAAAAAGAAAGATGGACAGTTACCTCCACAAGAGAAAATGAAATTTTGGACAGATGATATATAAAAACAGTGGCTCGGAGGGTGGGAAATTGGTGTTGATGGATAGAAAATTTGTATAAGTGTAAAAATAACAGTAGATGACAAATATTTATGTATGGTTGATTGTATTAAATTAATATGTATCTGCCCTAAAACAAACGATGTACAGCAAACGTATTGAATTGATAAAATAAATAAAACAATAAAAAAAGAATATCCAGGTTTATTCAATCTATTCTTTATTTATGTAAATCAGTCACGAAGAACAATGCTTCAGTTTGCAAGTATGAGTATTATTGTATTTAAAAACTTAAGATCAGTTTATGATTCAAAGATAAACAGAGTATAAAAGAAAAGCAAAACTATGTTTATTAAGAAAGAAATGTTTCATAGCACAAAGATACCATTGGTGGATTTCGGAAGGCAAAGCTAATGAAAAGAAAACTTTCTACCAGATTTATTGACAAAGGAGAAATTAAGGAAAACAGTGGTTTAAGTGCACACACATAATCTCCAATGCAGGGTTTCTAATGAGAATTGATCTTAAAAGCACAGCTAGCTATGGCTATTAATAACTGGCTTCACTTACTCACAGTCTCAGTGTAGATTTCTTTGGAACCAATAAATAGCTTTAAAATGTTTAGGAGACATTATTTTGATAATATCTTATATAAATGCTTTGATTGACTGAATTCTATTGATTAGCAGGAGTTGAGTTGACATGAATAAAACACCCTCTTTGTTTCTGTTCTGAGACAAAATTCAATAATGAATATGTTTTTGAAAGCTCTGATTATACTATTGGATCAACTAAAAGAGAGCCAAAATATTGTATTCACCATACTTCAAAAAACTGCTCTCTCATCAGTCCAGAAAACATTTTAATTGGCATTCTTATTGGAAAGCTA